CCCCCCACCTGGGAGGCCAGGTCGCCCCAGGCCGCGGGCTGGGGGTCGTGCAGGGTCACGGCCTTGACCCCGCCCAGCACCAGGTTCTTGGCCACCTCGAGGCCCAGCCCGCGCAGGCCCGACACCAGCACGGCGGCCGCCTGCATGCGCCGCATGGCCTCGTGGCCCAGCACGTACCTGCGACAACAGCGCGACGCGGGTGACGCGCGGGGCGACAATGGTGACACCCGCCCCAAAAAACCCCGGCCCGAAACACCCCAGGACGAAAAAACCCCGTCCCGAGAAACACCGCGCGGCCCGTGCGGACGGGTGACGCACGTGGGGACACCCAGGGACACCCGGTAACACCCCGCGAACAGGCGGCCCGAGACACCCCGTCCCCAACACCCCCGCAGCCAGCCAAGCGTCACCCCGGGGTGACAGCCCCGCAACAGCCGCGCGCGGGGGTCGCGGTGACAGCCGCGCAACAGTCGGTGCAACAGCCGCCCGCACGGGGGGCACTCACAGCTGGCGGGAATAGAGACCCTCATCGATGTCGGCTTCGCCCCCGTTCTTGGCCATGCCCTGCGGGTGACAGCGGGTGACACTCGCGGGTGACGCCGGGTGACACCGAGCGACACGGGGGTGACACCGGGTGACACTCGCGGGTGACACTGAGCAACAAGGGGGTGACACCGGGTGACGCTCCCGGTGTTGGAACAACGTCAGGGTGACGCCTGGTGACACCGGGTGACGCTCCCGGTGTTGGAACAACGTCAGGGTGACGCCTGGTGACACCGGGTGACGCTCCCATTGCTGGGGGGGGTCTCGGGGTGGCGTCGAGTGTCACGTGGACAACACCCAGTGCCGCGCGGGTGACACCGGGTGACACTTCCTTCGCCGGGGGTTCTCAGGGTGACACCGGGTGACACTCCCATCACCGCGGGTCCCGAGGCGGCACCAGGGGACACCCCCATGGCCGGGGGTGGCGCTGTCCCCGGGTGACGCGAACAGGCGGCGCCGGGTGACTCACGTTGGCGGGGGTGGCGCTGGGTGACGCGGGCGGGGCGCTGGGGGCGGAGGGGCAGCTGGAGCCCGTGGGCGCCTCGGAGCCGGACCCGGAGACGCGGCGCTTCTTGGACAGCGGGGAGCTGGACATCTGCGGGTGACAACAACCGGTGACAACGGGGGACAACGGGGGACAACGGGACAGCGGGGAGCTGGACGTCTGCGGGTGACAATGGGTGACAACGGGGGACAACAGGGGACAATGGGTGACAACTGGGGACAATGGGGGGCACCGGGACAGTAAGGAGCTAGACATCCACGGGTGACAAGAACGGCTGACAACGGGTGTCAACGGGTGACACACGAACAGGGGTAGCTGAACACCTGCTGGTGACAACGGGTGACAATGCGTGACAAGGGAACAGGCAGAGCTGAACATCTGCGGGTGGCAACGGGTGACAATGGGTGACATGGGAACAGGCAGAGCTGAACATCTGCGGGTGACAACGGGCACCGCGGGGAGCTGAACGCTTGTGACTGACAACGGGGACAACCGATTGGTGACACTGGGGTGCGCAGGGACACCGAGCAGCGACAACGGGGAGCTGCAGGTCTGCGGGTGACACCGGGACAGCGGGTGACAAGTGACCACAGAGACACCCGGTGACAACGGGGACAGCGGGAAGCGGGCCACGCGGGGACAGCAGGAACGGCGGGTGACAACAGGTGACTGCAGGTGACACCGGGTGACGCCACGGGGGGGTGTCGGGTGACAGCAGGGGACAAAGGGCGGCATCGAGGGGGAGCGAGTGGCGCCCGGGGGACACAAAGGGGGTGTCAGGTGACACCGGCGCACAGCCGGTGACAACAGGCGACACCGGGTGACACTGAGGGCCAGAGCGACTGACACGGGGTGACACGGGGGGGGCCCCAGGTGACACCAGGTGACGCTACGGAGGCATC